CTACTACTACTACTACTACTACTACTACTACTACTACTACTACTACTACTACTACTACTACTACGACGACTACTTTTACTACTACTGCTACTACTACGACTATTTCTACGACTACTATGTCTACGACTACGACTATCACCACTACTATGATCTCGAGAGCGCGGCCAGCTTTAGATGTGCAGAGCTCGGGCAAGGTTAGCATCATTATCATCATCATCATCATCATCATCATCATCATCATCATCATCATCATCCGCATTATCATCCTCAGCGTCATTTATGCTGCGACCTCTGGGCAAACGTTCATTATCCCACCTGGACCTTGAATATCAGTACCCCCAGGGGTTTAATTCAGGGGCACGCGGCTATCGTTGACGAGTCTTGGGTTTACAGTGGTCCTCTTCCTTCTCCTTCTCTTCCTCCTCCTCTTCCTCCTCATCCCCCATGTCTTGGCACCACCATCTTCCATGCATATACCCGATGGCCCCAGGCCGCAGCACACACGTGGCACCCTGGGGTCCTTAAGTGACGGTTCCTTTCCGGCGGCCTTCCCCCAGAGCTTTCCCCGAGCTCCCCCAGGAAGTTCCCGCAACTGCGCAGAAGTTCCAAGAGGGCCCCACGACGGTCCCGGGAGGCCCCTAGGCTGCACCACGACGCCTCCAGCAGCACAATGATGCCCCAAGAGGCCGCCAGAGCGCCCGCACAAAACTTCAAAGGGGGCCAAATTAATCAAGACCAATAGGAATCCCGACGCTTTTTTTATCTTCTTGGAGTGTTCATTTGTTGCCAACGCATGGCCAAACGATGGCCTCGGAGTTTCATATGGTCTCGACTAGAGTTGCAAAATTGCCCAAGGATAGCCCAGGATTGTCGCGAATGCAAAGCCTCAAAGCGCCTTCAGGCACCAAGGCGTGCGCTTCCAAGCCAAGTACCCGATCATACGGACATGGCCCGTCTGACGCGTTATACGCTTGGCCACCTGGCAAGTAGAATTTGGGCGCGCGCGATGGCTCTAGCTTGATAAAATAGATGAAGCCGTGGGTAATAGTTTCAGCGAGTGCGAACGCAGGCGTTTGGCAGTTGTCTGTTGGGGAAAAGTGGTTTCGATCGAGTCAGTCGGCGAGAGCATGAACTGAAATATTACGTGTGCGGTCTATGCCTCCGTAGTCGTTTGGGCTCAGATGTCGTGAGATTTTACTGGAGCGTGGGCCCGAGCAGCGCGTGTTTAAAGTGTTGCCGCTCCAACGTGACGGCATTTGTCCTTGAACAATGGTGTTTCCAATTTTTATTTGGACCCCAGTCTGAATGTGTTTGCGACATCTATTTATGTAGCTCTGTTGTTCACATTCCTTTTCTGGGCATTGCAGAATTTTTGAGGACCGAATTCCTGCAGAGAGTGGTTTCGGCATACTTAATCGCATTGCCCCGAAATCTTGCAGTATTAGTGCCAGCGTAGACCCAAAAACAGTAAGTTCTTGCATTGTGAAGGTGGAGGCTCGGAAGTAAGCTATGTGGTGTTAGTTATGTTGTGTAAGTTGTGCGATGTGATATACGTGGTGCGATCCTGTTGTGTAAGCTGTGCGGCGTGCTCTACTTTGTGCAAGCTGTGCGATCTGACATACGTGGTGCGAGCTATGTGGTGTGAGCTGTGCAGTGTAAGCCGTACGCGCACGCTATGTTCGCCCAGGGGACGGCGTGCCCGCGAGCGCCCACGAAGCACCTCCTCCTCATCCTTCCTCCTCCTCTTTCCTCCTCCTCCTCCTCCCCCTCCTCCTCCTCCTCCCCCTCCTCCTCCTCCTCCTCCTCCTCCCAGCCCGGGGCGAGACCTCGGCGGACCCACGCGGGGCACGAGGAGCGCCCATAGGCGCCCACGAGGCGCAACGGGCGGGCACCAATCGAGACGTCGGCGGACACACCTAAGGCACCAGGGCTGGACCTAAACGCCATGTTGCTGGACTTCGGCCGGGACTTGTGTTGCATCTTGGCAGGGAGGTACAGGAAACCAGGTAGGCCAAAACGAACAACAAAATTACCCCAGTGCGACCCTACCTAGAAGTTGGAGCCCTTCGGAACACAGCATTAGTTGCTATGCTATGCTATGCCATGCCATCCTATGCTGCGCTATGCTATGCTACGCTATGCTATGCTATGCTATGCTGCGCTATGCTATGCTATGCTAAGCCATGCTATGTCATGCTGAGCTATGCTAAGCTATGCTATGATATGCTAAGCTGCGCTATGCTGCGCTATGCTATGCTGCGCTATGCTGCGCTATGACATGCTATGCTATGCTATGCTATGATGTGATATGCTATGCTTGGATTGTGCTGCTATGCGATGCTATGCTAATGCAGCGCTGTGCTATGCTATGCTAAGCTAAGCTAAGCTAAGCTAACCCTCTGGGCAGAGCCTAGGTAGGGAATTACACCCATGCAAATGCTATGCTGTGCTGTGCTGCGCTATGCTATGATATGCTATGCTATGTTATGCTGCGCTATGCTATGCTATGCTGGGCTATGTTATGCTATGCTTTGTTATGCTTATGCAGCGCTGCGCTATGCTAAGTTGAACTCAGCTAAGCTAAGCTAAGCTAACCCTCTGAGCAGAACCTAGGTAGGGAATTTCACCCATGCTATGATATGCGATGCTGCGCTATACTATGGTACGCTATGCTGTGCTCTGCTATGCTATGCTACAGCTCAGCGAAGCTAAGATGAAGGTAAGCTAAGCTAAGATACAACTGAGGTAAGATGAAGCTAAGCTAAGCTATGATGAAATAAGCTAAGCTAAGATGAGATAAGCAACGCGAAGCTAAGGGAACGTCACTGGGGGAGCCGCGGGGCGGATGCCGGGGGAACCGCCCGGGGCGCGCCCCACTGCCCGGCCCTTTAAGCAAACAGAGTAAGAACCCTCCTAGGCAGAGCCTAGGTAGGGAATACAACTGAGGGAAGATGAAGCTAAGCTAAGGTAAGATGAAATAAGCTAAGCTAAGATGAGATAAGCAACGCGAAGCTAAGGGAACGTCACTGGGGGAACCGCGGGGCGGATGCCGGGGGAACCGCCCGAGGCGTGCCCCACTGCCCGGTAAGCAGACAGAGTAAGAACCCTTCTAGGTAGAGCCTAGGTAGGGAACGAACACAAAACGAACAACAACGTTTAGGTCCAGCCCTGCAAGGCACGAGGAGCCAACGACGAGAGGGAACACGGAACAGCTGTGGTGGACTGGTCCAATGTATTCAGCACGCCCAGAAAGAAGTTGTACGTGCAAGCGCCGACTGGGGAACAGCATGTTGGGCCATGATTTGACGTGCGCGTGGCGGCGCGCTCGCGTGGCCCGCATTGTAGTACGTGTCGGTGCTCCCAGATGGAGTCGAAGCAGATGGAGTCGGAGGATCGCGCCGCATCGCCGATGCATAGGCGGTGCGGCTTGATGTGGAGCCAAGGTTACTCCAAGCCGACGGTACCGATGCATCGGCGATGCGGCGCGATCCTCCGACCCTATCTGCACGGCCTCTCATATTCCAGCTCCGTTCTCGTCTTTGCGTGTCGGCCGTTTTGTTCGCATTTGATCGTAAGGACTCAACTGTGCAGATGTTACGCCGTCGCCATCTCCAAGCGCTCACCGTTTCGTGTCTCAGTTTTCGATTGCGAAGTGAGCTGTCGTTGCTTCTTCCCGTCCGTTTCAGTACCTTCATAGCGCAGGTCTAGAGTTCGACATCGCAGTGTTTAAAGTCCAGTGCCAGCTGGGGTCTGCAGTCTGTCTTCAGTGAGCGCTTGCGCCATCGAGGGGTTCGGGGGCCGTTGCATTGACTTCAACGTGCCCTAAAACTATGTGCAATGTTCATGCGGCAGGGAGATTATCATATTCACTTGACGGGCACCCACGTTCATTTTGTAAATTGGTCCAGAAGGCACGTGGCTGAGGGCGTTGGATTCCCTCCTCGGTCTGCAAGGCGCGGCGGTGGTTTCATTACCCGTCTTCTATCTACGGCTCCCAGTTGTGATTGGCATGTCCTTATCATTAGTTCGTGGCCATTCGGGGCATGCAGGTCGCCTCGACTTTCGTCCGATCGCGGTGTGGTGACCCTCACCATTGACGAGCCCCCGTCAGCAGCAAGACCGCCCAGGGGTAGGGGAGGTGACGGGAATCGGAGCGCATGCAACGGGGGTCATCGTCAACAAGGTCGGCCAATACCTCCCGATCCCTTCTGGCTGACCCCCCGGATTGGGATCTACGCAGATACGGTCCCCACCCGTCGAGGGTTCGTAGAGGGGGGGTTATCCCAAGGTGAGGTTGCGGAATGAACTCAGCTGGATGCCCACATGCTCTTATTCCAAGAGCCGTTTGGAGCGATGTTCTCGTGAACCCATCTCTGCCCGTACGTCCCCCTACGCCCTTTTCTCTCCGCTGACCCGGGGCTGGGAGGTACTGTGCGGCCAGAGGGGTTCGCGACATGGCTCTGGCTGTCCCGGGCTGGCGCGCCTCTCTTGGCAGGAGGGAGGACGCAGGGCAAGCTCCGCCGTCAACCCTGGCCTGTCGATCGCAACGGCGCATGGACATTATGACGAGCGTCGCGGTATAGGGCGACAGCGAACACGGTTGGACAAGTGCGATTGCAGGTGTCCGACAGTGTGGTCGGACCAGAAGCGCCCGAGGCACATGCAGTGCAGATGGCACCAGCAACCCGTGCCTCTCAGGTGTCCACGCGCTCCGATCCGTCACTGGCAGAACGAGAGCCAGGGCGGCCATTCGCCCCCCAGCCCAGCGAGGGAGAAAGAGGTTTTGAAAGTTTGGCTCCCTGGACCGCCTGCGCCCACCTGCAGCCGTGACGACGAGAGCCCCTCCCCGGGGCCCCGAGAACTGAACACGGCCAAAAGCTCAGTCCTCGATCCGTTCCGCCCTCGAGCTAAGCGGAGTTTTTGTTTGCGGTCTCGTGGACAATTGTCCATCCGATTCCGTTCCGCAGCATAGGCGGAACGAAGACAGGACCAGGGAACACGATAACGAAGCAAAAACGGAAAATGTTGGTAGCTGGAGCCTTGCATGCTTCTCCTGCCTCCTCTTTGCTGGTCCTTCCTCCCCCTTCCGTCTTCCCCCCTCCTCCCCCACTTCCCTGGCTCCTGGAGGAGGGAGCTCGGTAGCTCGCTCGCTCCCTCCTCAAGCGTTGGCGCCGCAGGACGCTCAGAGCTGCGAGCCCCGGCCCCGGCGCCTACGACTCGCGCCCCGTGACGCCCAACGGTCGGGGACCGAGCTCGCCAGAAGGGGTGTCGTCAGCGGAGGAAACTCAGCGGTCAGCTTGAGGGGAAGTGAGAAGGGGCGGGCCTTCTCGGCAGGCTCGGAAGGCCCCCAGCGATTGAGAAGTTCTGGAAGCCTTACCCGAAGGCACAGCCAATTTCTCAGAAGGCCAGGGGGCTCCTGAGAAGCCTCACCGCCTTCTGAGAAAGCCTTCTTCCTCTCACTTCTCCCGGGCGCGCCGCCGAGAAACAGTACCGATACTGCTACCTTGTCCTCGTTTTTGTCGTCGTGGGCCTCCTGGGAGGCCCTCGTCGCAACAGCTGGATGGGCCTCGAAATTCTACCAGGAAGCTAGACGCATATGACGCGGCCAGCCCGGGCGAGAGCTGTGTACACATGTCCAGCCTGGATGAGAGCCTAGCCACAGATCTCTCCAGCGCTCGGTCCTTGTCTGTCCCGGCACGCAGGGCTTCCGTGTGTGTATCCAGCGCGTGGCTTGCGGACGTTCCACGTGTGAATCCAGCCGTGTGTGTTTCCGGTTTCCTGGTCGTCAGAGAGCACTTTGGGGGAGGTCCAGGGGGAGGCGCTATCGGTACCTGTTGCTTTTGCAGTGTCGCTCGGCAGGACGATGAGAGGCGGCGATGTGGGCGAATAACCCAGGGGCAACGCAAACTGTCGGAGTTCCGCGCGGAGTTCTCGGATCGTCGATGGGCCCTCCTGGCAGCGTCTTCGGCGCCGCTTTCGGCGCGCTCCGCGCGCCAGTGTGGGGGGGTCCTGCCAGCGCCGATCCGAGAAAGCAGCGCAGACTTCCATCAGTTTATTCCCTACCTAGGCTCTGCCTAGAAGGGTTCTTACTCTCTTAGCTTAAAGGGGCCGGGCAATGGAAAGCGCCCCGGGCGGTTCCCCCGGTCCCCTGGGAGCGGTTCCCCCCAGTCCCCTGGGAGCTTTAGCTTTAGCTTTAGCTTTAGCTTAGCTTTAGCGTAGCTTTAGCTTAGCTGTAGCTTAGCTTTGGCTTAGCGTTTCGCTTAGCTTTTCGCTTAGCGTTTAGCTTAGCTTTAGCTTAGCTTGAGCTTAGCTTGAGCTTAGCTTGAACTTAGCTGTAGCTTAGCTTGAGCTTAGCTTTAGCTTAGCTTTAGCTTAGCTTCAGCTTAGCTTTAGCTTAGCTGTAGCTTAGCTTTAGCTTAGCTGCTGCTCAGCTTTAGTTTAGCTTTAGCTTAGCTTTAGTTTAGCTTTAGCTTAGCTTTAGCTTAACTTTAGCTTAGCTGTGGCTTAGCTTTAGCTTAGCTTTAGTTTAGCTTTAGCTTAGCTTTAGCTTAGCGTTACTGTTACTACTAATGCTGTTTTCCTAGGGGTTCCAACTCCTAGGTAGGGTCGCACTGGGATCATGTTTATGCCGGTTTCCTTCTTCCAATAACACGTATTCGCCGGGGAGCCTCGCCGAAGACATGGACTATCGGCGCTCTTGGATATGTGTATTGCCCCCCAAGAGCTAGTCGCCCCCATCGTGGCCCCCGTGAAGAAATTTAGGAGGCGAAATGGGTGGATAACCAAGACGCGGGCGCCATCCGCCCTTGTTGCAGCCAGTCCAAAACGGCTCAAGGAGGGAACAGGTCCCGGAGGTTGTTTTCCTTGGGTTAAGGCCCTCCCTCCCCAGGTCCCGTCCCTGGCCCCCGGAACGTAATGCATTTCGACGGTCGGACTCCGAAATTGAATCTCTTCGGTTTGTTGTCCTTGCGTTTGTGGTTGTTGTGATTGTGGAGGCCGTTCTCCTGCCTCCGGCATTCTCTGTACCATCTCTCTCTTCTCCTGCCTCCTCCTGCCTCCTCCTTATCCTGCCTCCTCTTCCTCCTGCTGCCTCCTGCCCCCTCCCTGCTCATCCTGCCTCCGGTTGCTCGTCCTACGCTCTCACTCCCTCTTCTTCCTCCTGCAAGCTCCTCCTCCTGCCTCCTCCTGCCTTCTCCTTCTCGTGCCTCCGCCTCCTGCCTCCTCTCGGGTGCCCATTTCGCCGTTTGAGGCTATCTTGGATTTGTTGGAATGGTGTTGCTCCGTTCCGAGACCTCTAGGACCGCCGTGAACTTCCCTTGAAGCGCTGAATTCAGGGTCTTGAAGCCCGCGCCCAGGAGTGCCTAGGCTTGCCTGGGGTGTTTCTCTTCCGTAGACCCCCAGCGGCCGTACCGCTTGTGCTTGAGTTGACCATTTACAAATGTTCTGAACCTCTTGCCAGAGATTCGACCACGCCTTTGGGCTGGTGCGTTTCGCGTGTGTGTGTGTGTGTTTGTGTGCGTGTTTGTTTGCCTGTGCGTGTTATGGTCTTCGGCGACGTTCGCATGTTTAGTTGTTTCTAGAGGGTGGAATTGTCAAAGAACATCATAGCTCGATGATTAAAAGGTAGAGGTATAACATCCAAACGTGAGAAGCAATATGGCAGCCTGATCGCTTCCGTTTTCAGCCAATGCATCATGCAGCGCCGTGTGCGCGTGTCTGGCCCGTTCGTGTTGCCTGGTGTAGAAGCTGACAACGTGTGATGCGCGCGTCGATGGTTGGGTTTTCTCGGTGGGCCCCGTTGCGATTGCCTGCCGCAGTTTTATCGTGTAGTGGTTTGCCTTTCGGGGGTGACTCTTGGCTTGCTTTCGCATGGGGCCAGCCGCGCCGCGTCTCATATTTACTGCTGCAACGCATTAGCAACAGCCGCATGCTAATCTGCCTACTGCGTGCGAATATCTTGCAAAGAAGGAGGAGGGGGGGGAAAACAATTCTCCCAGGGGTAACCCAAAGTTCGCTCTTGTGGGGGGATTCGCTCGCGACATCTCCCAAAGATTATCCGCCAGATAAGAAAGGGGGTAGTTGTTTTTCCCGGGGTTGCCGATGGTGCACGAGACTGGTAGGGAGGAGAAGGAATTGGCGAGGATTGGGCCTTCCTCGGCCTGGCGAAACCAAGCTTCGAAGGCGAAATGGCTTATCGACGAAGGACACACACGATCGTAGATGACCCAGTTCGCTGTTGGGGGACAGGATCTCCCCGCGTGTGGATAGTTGCGTCGATCTCTTGCGTTTGCTGGATTCGGTTCGGACAGCTCGGTCAGTTATCGGCTTGCTCTTGTCAAGCGGATCTACAATGTTGCCCGGTATGTTTTAAGTACCGCGTCTGTTCTAGGTATATGACTGAAGTTTGGGTCCAGAGTCCAGGCGTTCCATGCGCATCGCCGCTGAGTTCTTCTCTTGTTCAGCAGGCTGGAAACACAACGCGCCTGCGATGCACATGTGCCCGTGCACCAATCGTCTCATGTTGCAATCTACCAGCTACAGCGTCGTCTACTGTGTGTGCGCGCGTGTGCATGTGTGTAGTGTGTATGTCTGTGTGTGAGACTGGGCACTTCGATAAATATGTTTGTAGTTGGTTCAGTTGTTTATTTGATAGCGTGACCCGCAGCCCAACTCCTTTGAATACCTCCGCACCGTCCTTCTCGTGCACTCATCTATATGCTCTCCGAGCGACCGCTTCCGAAAGCCGCAGGGGCCCGAGGTAGCGGACAGCGGACAACGGGAGGAGTAATGTGAGGAGCGCTTGAGGACGAGGTTCAGAGAATGATCGAGGCGAAGGGTCCAGCGGGAGGATGAGAGGGAGGGGCGGGAGGAGGAGCAGGAGGAGGAATTTTCGATATCGTATCATCGAGATGTCCAGCTCTACTGCCACGAACGAGACTGAGCCTGTCAGCCCCAGGCTGGGGATGCCCTCCGCCCGACCTCCCTCCCGCGGTGAGGGTGCCACCGGCTTCACGCTGCGAGCCGCACGGTGACGATCACATCGTTTTGTCATTTTCGTGATGCTTCGAAAGAGCACAAACAGCATGAATATAAATGTTTGACGGCCCGCGTGGATTTCTTGGATCGGCGTTGAGCCTCCCTGGCGGCGACTCCAGCGCCGCCCCAGGCGCGCTCCGCGCGCGCCATAGGGGGGGGATAGTCCAGCGCCGATCCAAGAAATCCATGCGGACCTCCGAGAAGCCATGTTCATGCAGCTTTTTATCGTAGTGATGCTTGCGGGTTGGATGTGAAGGACGAGCACCCGTGCCCCCGCTGCGTGGCCAATGTGTGTTGCTGTCCCCTGGCGGTTCGCCCTTCTCTTCTGCAGCTTGCCTCTCTGCAAGCAGATCCAGCATCCAGAATCCCTCCGAGAAGGACGGCGCGGGTGAAGCGCAAACGTGGATGATGGCGCGTGGATTGGCCACGGGGCCTGTTCCCGTACAGGGTCGGCGCGCTCCGTCGCCAGATCAGGCGGCGGTGGCCTCTTGTTTCTGTAGGGTATGTTACCCGAGCTGTGGATTTGGCGCCCACGCGCCAGATCCATGGATCCCTGATCCATGTACACGTGTGCCCGGCAGTTGCAGGTCCACATCGTTCCTTCCATTCCCCCGTCCCAGGACGGAGGGAGACAGCCAGGGGAGGAGGGAGGTGAGGAGGGATGCACGCTTGGTACAGATGTTCGGCTCCTACCTCACCCGTTCCTCTCCCCTTGCCTTCCCTCTCTCCTCCCGCCTCTCCTGCTCCCCTCGCCGGGCGCAGGGTTCACTTCGAGCAGATTCGATGCCGATTCCGTCAGGCCCGATCCGATTGGATTCCAATATTCCGACGATCCAGTGCGTCCCGATGCTTGCACGGGCGCTGCTGAACATTCTGACGCAGCCGAGCTTATTTGATTCCCGTTCCGTGCCGATGCGGCCCGATTCGACGCTCGTTCCGATTCGATCCGATATCCCATTTCGGT